GCGTCCTACGGCGAGGAATTCGGGACAAGCAGCAACCTGCTCACAGCCAAACATGTTGATGACATCAATCTGGCCGGCACTGAGGACACCATCGACAGGTGGGCCAAATGCGTCGAGGGCACTTTTGCAAAGTGTAAACTTTACAAAAAAACACATGTACCAATCGTGCTGTGGGATGCACAAAGGACGGGGGCGGCGGCGTCGCACGGGGTCAAGACGAATACATCAAACAGCGCCGTCCTACACAACATCCAGAACTCACAGGCGCGGGCGCCGACGCCAAAGCATCACATATGGTTTCTGACATGTTTGTCTGCCTCAGAGGCACGTTGGCTTACGCATCAATGTCACAGGCGTGCTTGATCGTGCACGCGGTCTCTCTCTGCAGCGCGTCCAAGAGCCGACCGATATACAGGTGCGACGACTGAGCGCGATTACTGGAAAGTTGCAGGCCTGCCTAAGAAGATCGTCTATCGATCGATGGCTCCAACGGGCGAAGTTGACCTGCAAAGTGACTCCGGCTATCGACGCCTGAGCGACGATGCCGATGACGAGGTCGAAGGCTATGGTGTTCGCGGGGCAAACCTGCTACGGCGTGGAAAATCGCCAATTTGTAAGCCTGTTGTCCAATTGATGCGCACTGCGAGTCTCATTGCATGCAGGTCCGCTCAAGCTACCCAGCAGAAACACTTGCAGCAGCCCACAACTGGGAAGACTGCTATCCCACGATCGTTACTTTGCACGAACACCACGAAGGGCCACTGACACCTACTCGGTTGAAGGATATACTGGAGATGGGTGGCCTGAGCATTTAGGTCACTTTGACCATGGATGCTGAATATGTCTTCAAGTCCTTGTTAAGCAAAGACCGGAAGAAGCCGACTGAGTGCACTCTTATGAGGCACATCAGTTGGACACGACAAATTATGGAGCGAGGAATCTTGCATAATACCCAGTGGTGTGACACTCGCGACATGACCGTGGACGGTCACACAAAAAGGGAGCATTGACAGAGATATGCTCCTACAGGTCACGGCAGAAACGCAATCCTTCAAGCCCGACTTGAAACGTCATGCTCCGTACTGGGCCGGCCAGACAACATCGTCTGAGGCCGCCTGAGTAGCTTGCGCTTATACAGCGATTCGCTCGCAAGGCAACTTGCGCGCAAGGGCATGTGATTGCGGGTTCACCTTCCTTGCGAAACCGCATTTTGGTGTTTTTTGTTTAGATAGTGTTTACTGTATAGGGGCGGCGGACTCACGCTTCGTCTCCCTCCCCCCCCGACTCTAAAGTGAGCTGGGGCAGGGGCGAGAGATAGCGAGCGTTTGTCCGTGGCCGCTTGGGCTGAATCGGCCGGCCGCCAACATGGGCGATGCCGCATTGCGCGGCAGACTACTTACCATCGAGACCGAAAACATCCTTCGCTTGAGATGGCCCGTCGCTCCCGCGATAACTTGCTCCGATTGGGACAATCGCTACGACGGAGCAACAGAGCTGGAGCTGCGCTTTGCCTAAAGGAAAGTTTCTGGTCGGGTTTCCCGGCCTCCTTCAAACTGTGGCACCCGTTTTGTCCCGTCAGGGGCTCGAGTTCGTCGGCGTCGCCTGGGCCATGACCATGCAATACCAGATTCGGCCGATGCGATCGTTGAGTCCGCCGGCGCAATAGTTGCGCGCAACATTGGCGCGCAATGGTTCACGCAGCAAGCGATTGCATCTGCGTTTGGATCGACCCCGTTGGGACGGACCTGCTGCTTGATTTTTCCTGAACCGTTTGTCTCTGCAGCTGAGCTTTCTGTTGTCGAACAGGCGCTGGGTGGCGGTCTCGAATATTTAATATGTGGATGATTTGACGATTATCTCATATTTTCCCACGCGTCGCATGTAGGCGACCGCCAAAACGACCCGCATGGAACGGCGCCAGTGACCACCGCCGTGCCTGCGAGCACCGCGTAGCTGACACCGTTGTGATCCCGTTCGGTCGGGTTCGTCGGTGTCGGCTGGGCCGCGCGTCCGTGCAGGCCACCCGGAAGTAACATGTGATTTGTGTGTAGTCTCTCGTTGTTCCATGGTTTCCCCGATATGCCATCTGTCGCACTCGGATTTTGTATCGTGTGCGTGCGCCGCGCAGCAGCCATTTGGGCCCACATTGGCTCCCATGCCTGACGAAGTCGGGAAAAGGGGCTTCCGTAAAACGTGTTTCCAGGCGCACGTGTTCATTGCATCTTGCTCGAACAAAGGGCCTGAAGTTTCGGTAAACACAGTGCGCCTCGGTTCTTTCAGGCCCGCGCCGCCAACGCCGGGCCGTTCCTGTCCGCATGTCTCCCTAACGGGCCCAGGCCGCCCGTTCCTGCGCTGGCGGTTGGCGCAGGGCGACAGGGCAGTACTGGCACGGCACCAGTGGAAGGTTTTTTTTCCGAAGGGCTTGGGCTAACCGCCCTCCTCCTCCTCCTCCCCTCCTCCTCCTCCTCCTCCTCTTCCTCCCTCCTCCTCCCCCTCCTCCTCCTCCTCCTCCTCCTCCTCCTCCTCCTCCTCCTCCTCCTCCTCTTTCTCCTCCTCCACCTCCTCCTCCTCCTCCTCCTCTCCTCCTCCTCCCTCTCCCTCCTCCTCCTCCTCCTCCTTTTCCTCCTCCTTTTCCTCCTCCTCCTCCTCCTTTTCCTCCTCCTCCATCTCCTCCAACCCCTCCCCCTCCTCCACCTCCTTCTCGGGTCGCCTACGGCCCCGGGGGAAAGCGAACGGGCAACAGCCTCCAAGCGGGGACGGACAAGAGGGAAGAGCTGGGGAGGAAGGAGGACCAGCAGCAGCAAGGAGGAGAGCGGGTGCGCGGAGTCAGTTCGCCCGTCCCCTCGCCCTGCAGCACGGAGCACATTTTGCGGCGCCTCTCAGAAAACAGCTTGGCGTTCCTCTCTGCGGCAGCTCGACTGTGCCGTCGCGGGGGTGGGGGCCGCAGGGGTTGGAGCTCGCCCAGCTCTGATGTGGCGGAGAGGTGGAGGAATCCCTGGCCTGTGCGCGGAAGGGCTCCCGGGAGCCAGGGCGCGCGGCCAGCGTTGTGGCGCGTTTCTGGGGCTCTCGGAATCCGTCCAAGCAAGAGCAACTTGACTGGAGTTCTCAGGTTCAAGGGAGGAAGGACCACCCCGACCCCGACAACTGGCGTTTGCTAAATGGCGCTGGGCGTTTGTCACAAAATCCGCCCCGCCCGGCTCGATTCCTCCATTTGGTTAGTCTGTTAAACGGTTTCGCTTGTCGGGGTGCTTATAATGCGGGTGGAATTTCGTCTCTCTACCGGTGCTGGATTTGTAGCCGCTGCATTTCGCCCCCGACCCCTCTGAGGTTGCGACTTTGGTTACCAGGGCTGGAGGGTTTCTCCGAAGGGCTTAGGCGACCCGTCCTCCTCTCTCCTCCTCCTCCTCCTCCTCCTCCTCCTCCTCCTCCTCCTCCTCCTCCCTCCTCCAACTTCTCCTCCTCCTCCTCCTTCCCTCCTCCCTCCCTCCCTCCCTCCCTCCTCCTCCTCCTCCTCCTCCTCCTCCTCCTCCTCCTCCTCCTCCTCCTCCTCCTCCTCCTCCTCCTCCTCCTCCTCCTCCTCCTCCTCCTCCCTCCTCTCCTCCTCCTCCTCCTCCTCCTCCCTCCTCCTCCTCCTCCTCCTCCTCCTCCTCCCCCTCCCCCTCCTCCACCTCCTCCTCCTTCTCCTCCTCCTCCTCGGGTCGCCTACGGCCCCGGTGGAAACCGTGCAGGTTGGCCTCTGCTGCTGGGGTTCACAGTGGTGCATGGCGTCACGGTCTTCGGGCGTTGCGTGACGGGGGGGGGGTCGGTGGCAAATCATGGGAGCTTGGTGTACCCTTTTCATTCCGTCTTTAGCATCGATCAGCGTCGATTAACGTCAGGAGTCGATGAGATAGCGTCGATGAGCGTCGAATAGCGTCGACTCGTGTCGAATAGCGTCGATTTAGCGTCGATTAGCGTCGACTCGCAAGAGCCGACAAGATGGTATGGGAGGCTCCCATGAGTTGCCACCGAAGGGAGTCGATGCACTGGGGTGTGAAGACAGGTGCCGCTCTCGTACCGTAAGGGGGCCCCGAGGAGGCACGAACGGTGCTCGCTCCTTCACTCCTCCATGTGTCGCTCCCCCCCTTAAGCTTAAGTTGGGCCTGTCTCTTCACATGAGGACATCCAAACATAGTACAAATATAGTCTGGGTGTGATTGTCTAACTGTTTGTAACTATGTTTAAACATTTGTTTGACGATCGTTCCATTTCTCAACACATCCGCCTGTAGGAGGACGTGACCGACCTAACGTCAAGCGACGCAGAATGAAACCCAGACAGCGATGGGCACAATCCGCGTACAGGCAGGATCATGTGAGTGCGTGGAGCATGTTGTGTCCATCCTCTTCCCTCCTCCCCCCCGTCTCTTACCTTGGCGCGCCAGGCGCGGTTCTGGCAACCTTTTACCGCGCTTTCTGCCCACGCGTCCTTCATGGATGCACGGCTGTCGCATTCGTACTCCCATTGAGCAACGCCCACGGTCTCCCATCTGCAGCGTGTTCAGTTACAGCAGGCACACCATATAAGGAATTGTCTTGCCAACGGGTGCCCCTCGAGAATCTCTTACCTCCAGATGGGCCCTCGGAGCCCCGGGATTCCTTGCCAAGGTCGGCGTTGACGAAGAATGTGCCACTAGATTTCTCGGAGCAAGATTCCTTATTTTATGTACCTGCTGTAGGGTGTCCTCAACTTGGCGCTCAGCTTGGTTTTCGTTCGGACGTGTGCGTTTTCCCTTGGCGAGGAACATCGAGGAGCATCCTGGACCATCTTGCCAAACATCAGCGCACGAAGTCGAACAATGCACGGGGAATGGACGTCTGAGCAATGGCGAGCAAAGCGTCGAGCCTCTTGTCTGCGCGTTCGTCGTCGTCTGCCGATAGGAGGAGGAGGAGGAGGAGGAGGCGGAGGAGGAGAGGAGGAGTGGAAGGAACGCCCTGACGCCCCGCCACGGCGCCCCCGAGGTGAAGGAGGTGGCTCTGAGCACGTGCGTCGGCGAACTCCCCCCCCCGCCTCCGCGGGTTGCCTGCGCGTCGCGGCTGCCCTCGGTGAGCGCGCGCGTGATCTTGTCCTCCTGCTCCTCCTCGTCGTCCCCGTCGTCGGCGACGTCCTCCTCTCCCGTCCTCCTCCGCTTCGCCGGCAAGTGTACGTCACGACTACTGCTCTCTTCTTTCCCCCTACCCGAGGAAGATTTCCTGAGAGTGTCGCCCGCGTCGTCGTCGACGTCCTCCTCCCCCGTCCTCCGCCTCGGCTGCAAGTGCACGGCACGACTGCTGCTCCATCCTCCCCCCCCCGAAGAAGACTTTTCCTGAGAGAGCGGCGCGCCCACCCCCTCTCAGCGGAGCAGTGGTTGTTTGACGCACGGGACTGCTATGATTTGTGATGTTGTTTCTTCGGCGCGGGTGCTGGTTCACCGCGGAGTTGCCGGTCCTTCCCAAATGGCGCCCCCGCTGACGCATGGGCCTTCTTCACAGATCAGCGCTCTGCTCCCGTCGTCGAGAGCGGCGCTCTCGCCCCAGCGCGGAGTTTTGTTTTCAAAATTTCCACGTCTTTCCACCTCGTTGTCTGCCCGCTCCGTTCCCCTCCTTCGCGTTCCCCTGGTCGTCCTGCTCCTCCCGCTCTTACCGCTCCTGCTTGTGATGCAGTACCTCCTCGATCCCCTTCCTCCTTCCTGCTCCTTCTCTTCCTCGTGCCCAGCCCCAAGTTCTTCCTCCTACTGCTCCCCTTCTTGCTCTTGCTCAGCCTCAAGTTCTTCCACAGTTTTCTCCAATCGCATAACACTCGCATAACACGATTCTGTTCTGACGGCATGTAGCTTGGGCCCTGGATCTGAGGCACGCCCAGTCTTGGCCTTCGGAGGCCCCAGCGGCGGCGAGGACTCCGCTAACCCGAGGCTTCGCCGAGCCGGAGCAGGAATAGCCCAATTCAACGACGAGCACAACACGGAGATTGTCCGCATTGTCTCAGGCACCTTGCCAGGTTCCCAACAGTCGGCCCCGCGCGAAAACCTGTTCCTGCTTTTGTGTCCGCTGCGTTGGACATTTCGTACATGCAACCAAGCAGCATATACCACGGATGGTACAGTAACCATGGTTTGCTCCCTTCCGGCGAGAGAGGCGGCCTATGGGCCGAGATCACGTTGGTCGTGCAGTCTCATGGAAGTGGACACACTGTTGTGTTGTTCTTTCACGGGCACTTGTGTGTTACATATGTGGTCGGCGTTAAAGGCATGTCTTGGTTGGTCCGTGGCGACCTTGCGGCTGACATTCTGGCCGGCCAGGGTGCCGCTCAGCACATGTTTCCGCTCAGCATCCGCAGCCCCACCGTGACCTTGGATCACCATCTGCTTTGGATTCGCATGCGCATCCTGCGGTCGACGCTCGATGCATATGGCCGCCGAGGACAGGATGGCAAGAGAACGTGCGCCTCCTGCTTGCAGAGGCGGCAGGCACCGACGGGGGGGTCGGAAGGCCCTTGTGGGCCCCCCCTGTGCGCGAGAGCCATGGCGAAGGAACCGACCACCGTCCCGCTCCCGCGGCCCCTCCCCCGTCGTCGTGCCGCCGTCGGCCCCCATTGTTCCCGTGCTCGGGTCCAGCCGTGCTCTTGAGAAGTGCGGGCGTCGGTGCCGCGCCGCTGTCGAGGCTCAGCATCGAGCTCCCCAGGTTCCGAGCTTGGAGGAATCCGGGATGCTTTAGAATAGTTTCGCTTGGCGGTTCCTTGAGAGGAATTCCCGAAGGGGGCGAGGATGCACAGCGCTGGGGGGTGGAACCGCCCCTCCACAGCATACGGTTGCGCCAGGACTCTGGCATCTGGTGCTGCGCACATTGTGGGAAGTATGGGTGATGAGCAGTTGTCAGCGCTGGGCAAGGAGTGCCCAAATGCGGTGACCCCCGCCCGTGCTGAGCACCCGAAGCGTATCGAGCGGGGGGGGGCCCAAGGCTGACAGCAAAGCAGAGTTTGAACGCAAGGCCGGGGCCCACAATTTGCCTTTCCTGGGTTGTTGCTGGACTTCGTTCCTGGTTTCCTGGCTCCTGACTTCTCTTCCTCCTCCTCCTCCTCCTCCCCCTCCTTCTCTCTCCTCTCACCTCCTCTCCTCTTCTCTCATCTCCTCCGCCACCTCCTCTCATCCTGCTTCTCCTCCTCCTCCTCCTCTATCTCCTCCTCTCCCTCCTCCTCCTCCTCTTCCTCCTCCTCCTTCTCCTCTTCTTGTTGTTCAATGCCGTGCCTCCTCTCATCCTCTTCCTCCTGCCCCTACTCGTTATACATTTTCTCCTTCATCCTTTCCCCCGCTTCGGTGTGAAGTTGTTCTTGCCATGATCGACTCTGCTGAGACCAAGCTAGAATCGAGTCTCCTCCTCCTCCTATCGGGCGGCCAGCGGGTCCCTTTCGCGAGCCTGGTTGGTCAGGCCATCCGTCGACCAGCTCACTCAGCCCACGATCGGTCTGCCTTCGGCGCGAATGCCGCCGAGGTCGCCGCGTCCATCGGAGAAAGTGACATATCGCATCGCGCGGTCGAGTGTTGAGACCAGCGGCTTCGTCCAGTGGGTACTAAGCCTCCTCCTCCTTCTCCTCCTCCTCCTCCTCCTCAGCGCAGGGGATGGATACCATCGGCCATGCTGGCCTGTCTCTGTGTGGGCATGGGGCTTTGCGTGCGCTTCGTTTCTGCAGGTTGTGGCTTGTTTGGTGTGCTGCATCATTCAGGGGTCGGTTTGCCGCCGCAACGTAGGCGCGCGACGTGGACGACCCAACACCACTTCTGCCTTGAGAAAGAAGGCTCCAGTGTAGCCGCCGCGTGTGTTCCTCCCTTAGATCTTTCTCTGTTTTTTGTATCTCTCTCTCTCTCTCTCGTTCTCCCTCTCTTTGTTCTCTGGTTTCGGTCGAGGTCCGCCCCTTCCCCCCTCCCCTTTAAAAAATTACGTTCGAGGAGTGCTGCTCTCTTCTCTCAGAGGATATTGCGCTGGCGTGCTGCCGCACATTCCGCGCATTGTCGCCGCACACGCACGGGAATTTCAGCAGTTTTTAGACCTCCTGTCTGCTTATGTTCGGTCGGCATGTTCGGGGTCCCTGACAGCGGCGCTCCCGCTGCAGTGCTGGCCGCCTTTCGGGGTCGGCGCTCAGCTCCCGTCCTTCAGAAGGGCGCTCTCCCCTCCTAGCGCTGTGGACGACGATCACGATCAATGGAGGGGAAGTATGCTGACTAATAATTTCCAGGTGCCAAATGTTTCTAAACGTGTCTCAAACATGCAAAACCATGGTTTCAACATGTGTAGGACATGTTCAAACATCTTAAGCACATGTCTAGTTCAACGATAGGATTGGTAGAGTGTCTATTGTCATGGTATCTACAACCCTAGTGGGCCACAGTTCTGGATCCGATTATCTTCTCGCCGTTGCCGCCTCCCTCGTTTCGTATGTTGTGGTTCCCTGTGCGCTTCTGCTTATATTCCTGTTCCTGCTGCTGCCCCTCCTCCTTTCAGAGTTCGACCGAAACGGTGTTTCGACGATTTCGAGGACGGTTTTCGTTTTGAGTTCGTTTCGCGGCAAAGGCGGAACGAAGACAGAACGAAGTGAAACGAAAACAAATCGAACACGGATAACGGTGCTTGTGCTTGGGTCGAGCCTTGCTTCCTCATCCTCCCCCTCTGCCTCCTGCTCCTCCTGCTCATCCTCCTGCTCATCTTTCACTTCTTCCTCGTATGGACAAAGCCCTCCCTGCTTGCGCAGCACATGATTGGGCCACTGCGGGAAGCAAGGTCTACTTGGACATCGCGGCTGGCGGACCGAAACACATTCCAGTGCGATGTGGAGGGATGGGCGGGAGGGGAAGGATTACATACGTGGTAGGAGCGCACCTAGCTTGTCTCTGACTCCTCCCCTCCATTACCCTCCCTCCCCCCAGTCATCCCGCCTGCCCCTCTCCTCCCACCCAGAGCTCCGGCGTCGCTTTTTTTGATTCACGGCGACCCTCGGAGGTGTGGACTCCTTCCCTGGGGACCAGATGCTCATCCTGATTAATTATTTGCCAGTGCCAGGGCCCGGTGAGGGCCTCGGAAGGCTAACCCTTGCCAAAGCCCTTCGCCGTGATTCCTTCCGCAGCGAGAGGAGGTTGGGGGCCATCGCCTTCCCGTCACGCCTTCGACAAGGGGTGTGCTGGTCTCCACGCAAGTGGGGCTCCGCCACTCCTGACCCCAATCACGAGCGGCGAACATATTCGGATCAGCGCCCTCGCGGTCCGGATTCTGAGGCGCGATCTTGCGGATACGCGGTCCCACGGATACGTTCCGCGTGGGGCATCCGCGAACAAAAGCGCTCCGCATTCTTCGGATCGCGGCCCAAGGGCCTGGCCGGCGAGGCCGCGGACACGGATACGTTTTTCGCCCCCGGCCCCAAGGCAAGAGGTCGTCGGAGGAGCACGACCAGTGCCTGTGGGATGCGGACACCGCGAAGCAGAGGCTCGAGGCTCCTTGGGCACTGCCGCGGCTCCGCCCTTCCGACCTCCGACACCGAAGAATGGAGCTATTGCTCGCGAGGTGCCACCTGAACCCAGGGTCCATTTCGATCCGATCGATCCGATTCGATATTGCTTGCGATCGGCCCGATCCGAATCGACACCGATATCTCGACGATCCGATGCGGACCGATGTATGCACGGTGATGCAGTGCATCCTGGCGCAGCCGATCTGGTTCAATTTCGATTCCGCGCCGATGCAGCCCGATCCGACTCAAATTTCGATCCGATTTGCCGATCCGATGCCGACTGATCCTGGAACCTCGACGTCCTCGCAGTCGACACGCATATTTCTTAGCATTCGCATGCTGGCTTTGGAGCCCAAGCTGCTGGTCTGCTGTTTCTGTGCGATTTTTCTAGGCCTCCCAGAATTGGTCAGAGTAGATGGGGTCGGAGGATCGTGCCGCATCGCCGATGCATTGGCGATGCGGCTCGATGTGGAGCCAAATCTTCTGCGCGCTGGCGTCGTCGATGCACCGCCGGCGATGTAGCGCGATCCTCCGACCTTATGTATTCGGTTCCCACCTAGGAGGCCTCTACTTGAGAGCTGCCGCTTTGACCTCGATGTCCTGGAACTTGACACCGGAGCCCAAGCTGCTGGTCATCTTAGGACCCGTGCGATCGTTCACGCCCTCCACCAGGCACATCTGATCTGGGTGGGTCTCTCAGTGGACGAGTGGCCCTGCGTTTTCGCCAGCTTCTCGCCATGTGTTGGAGCATGAAACTTTGCTCGGCGCTGCCGGTGCTGCCCTCCCCTCCCTTCCCCTTCCGCTCTCCCGGTCCCGCGTTCGTTGCGCCATCGTGTCTCTTCGCAGCAGATATCCAGGCCCGTGCCGCAGGTGCTCCTCGTTGGCCTCTTGCCGGGAATTGGAACATATACACTGCCAGTGGCGGGCTGTTCTCCAGTCCAATGACTTTTCGAGGGTCGGGGGCGACGTCGGGGTGGTGTGGTGAATACTTGTTTGTCAGTCTCCTGAGGAAAAAACAAAGGGTCCCGTATACACAGGATCAGTTTCCCTGCGCAAATTTCAGTGCAGGGCCGGAAAAAGCGTCGGTGTATAGAGTTCGTTTCCTTACCTTGATCCCGCCCGAGGAGCAGCCGTCTCTCTCCGAAGCGCCCCTGGCGCGAGCAACATAGGACAGGTCATGGGTTGTCTGGTTTGGTCGTGAGCGGATGAGGAGGCGAAGGAGAAGAAGGTGGAGGAGAAGGATGGGGAGGAGGAGGTGGAGGAGAAGGAGGAGGAGGAGGAGATAAGAGAGAGCTAGAGGAGGAGGAGGAGCAGGAGGAGGAGGAGGAGGATGCGAACGAGGAGGAGGAGGAAGAGGAGGAGGAGGAGGAGGAGGAGGAGGAGGAACAGGAGGACGAGGAGGAGGAGGAGGATGAGGAGAGGAGAAGACAGGAGAGGAGGGGAGAGATAATGATGAGAAGGGTGAGGAGGAGGAGGTTGCCTGTTCTGGTATCCCCGTGCCAGCGGCACAGGGCTCCTCGTGCTCGTCCTCCGCCTCGTCCTCCTCTTCCTCCTCCTCATCCTCCTCTTCCTCCTCCTCCTCCTCCTCCTCCTCTTCCTCCTTTTCCTCATCCTCCTCTTCCTCATCCTCCTCTTCCTCCTCCTCTTCGTCGCTCCAGTATCCTCCTCCTCCTGCTCCTCCTCCTCCTCGTCCTCCTCCTCCTCCTCCTCCTTCTCCTCCTCCTCCCCCCGGTCTCGTGTCGTGCACGGGCCGCCCAGAGGACATGCGACAGCTCTTGTGGCAAGGATCCCTCCTGCGCCCTCCCGAAGGAGAACCCATCGAGCTGTTGGACCTCGTTGTGTGATCATCTGGTGTCGTGTCACAGATGGCCCAGGACTAGGACTGGAGGCTGCGTTCCCAGCAGACGTCCCCGGAAAGCGTTTCAAAATCAGGATCCCGTAGCACATCAGGGTGCGTCGGCTCGAAGGCGCGCCCTTTTGCATCGCCGCCCTGGTCATCATGTGCCACGTCTGTTTCCTATAGGTCTACGTTTCACTGTCGTGCGCTTCCCCTGCGCGCTCTGCGCCAACTCTTCTCACGATTGTGTGTTCGCGCTCCCTGCCCTGCCCGTCCCTTCCTTGCCCCGCCTGATTTTCTCGGCCCCGCCCCCTGCGCACATCTCCGCGGCCCCCTCCCCGCAAGCAGCCCGCCGCCGCTCGGTGCCCCTTCGATTCTGTGTTGCTGCTCCACACTCCCACCCGTCAGTATCCGCTCTGCTTGGCCATCTTCGTCTCCCTCCCCACCCTCCCTGCCCTCCCCGCTCTCATATCCTCTTCTCCGCCTCTCCTCCCTCCCTTCCTCCCCCCTTCCCTCCCTCTTGCCCACCCACCCCGCCCTTCTATCCTCCACCCTCTGCCTTCGCCTCCCCCTCCCCTCCTTCCAGTCGCTGCCTCTCCCTGCCCTCCTCCCCCTCGCCGCCCCTCCATCTCATCCCGTCCTGCCTCCCTTCCGTCTCTCAATGACACTCGGCGCCACAGATGTCACACATACCCAGGACGAAGGTGTTTTGCTCTTGGGCCTGGAACGACGGTTTGAAATGTTCAGCGGACGCGTATGAGATAACCGCCATGGGATCCACTTAAGTTCGGGCTGATCCGATTGTTGTTGTTGTTTCTGTTTCGGTGGATCCGATTTCCGTCCGCGCGGATCCGATTTTAGATTTTGTCAATATTTGCGTACGTGTTTGTGTGTTGCGACAGGTCCGTTTTCTACCCCCACATAACATCATATGATTGAATTAAAGTGGGTTCGAAATCAGCCGGATCCGCGGACACTAGAACCCGCCCGTGTTAGGATACTACGGGGGAGGGTGATTCGGTCATCAATAGCCTGAGATGGGCCCTGCGCTGTCTCGCGCACCCCCATCAACTTTCCGCGGGCGCGGCCCCAATCAACATGAATACATGTCTCTTCTCCCGGTTGCTGCACGCAGCTCGTCCAGACGCCGTCCCCTCGGCGGCGCTGATGCTACCCCGCGAACTCCCCATCGCCATTTTCACCTCAAGAGGAATATCGTTCTTCCTGCGTAAGTAGGTGTCCAACCTTTGGTATCGAAAAGGGAGCGTGCACGAAATCCCTTCCAAACGAAACTAGGTTTGCTTTGACACGCGGAAGGGGCCGCTTGCCGCGTATTGTTTTTCAGTGGCCCCCTGGTAATTGGCCGTTGTGTTTTGTCATGCCTGCGCGTAGCGTGACATGTAAGTTGGAGTTCCTGGCAGTGAACAGCGTGAGGGCCATACCAATGCAAGTTGGGTGCTACCCAATCCCGCAGGAACACGGAATGACGGTCGCACGAACACGGACTTATTCTAGCACGACAGCAAGTTTGATCCCGCACGCACACGATTTTTTTCGCACGGACACGCACATTAGTCCGCACGAACACGGGGTGAAGCATGATTTGCTGCCAAGACTCCAGCATGAAACGCGCCACGACATGCCACACGAAATCGTCCGCGCGAAAAGGTTATGCGATTGTCTCTGGCGGCGTCTGGTTTGTGGGGCGCTCGCAGGCGCCATCGGGCGTTCGCAAACGATTCTGGGCTGGGGAATCAAAGTGAGGGCATTTTCGTGCGGCCACTCTGAGCGGGACTCTGGGGCCATTCGTTGCGGGCAATGTCGCGCGGTCAATGTCGCGCTCTGCGTCGTTCTCCCAGCCGCCTGTGCTTCTCGGCTGCGGTTGGCGAGCTTGTTTGTGTGCCGCGGCGACGACGCTGGTAGAGCACAGCGCTGCTAATGCTGATGGTCGCCTTGCCGATGTACCGTGTGCAAATGGCAATGATTAGGAGGGAGCCTGGTCCAACGCACGTACCATTGGGCGGGCTGCCAGCGGTGTCCATCCCGCCGTGGCGCAAATGAGTTGTCATACGAAATTGCCTGGCGCGCCCAGGCAATTTCGCTGCCCATTCCGTGCCCTATCTTGTATCCAGGGATCAGCTTCTGTGACAGAAGGCACATCTCGCCGCACCAATCACTCTACAAGGGTAGGAACCGTGGGGCGTGGAGGAGTTCCGTTTGCAGGCGAGGGCGCCCGCTCAGCAGCAGCGTGGTGGGAAAGGCCCGTTCTCGCGGCCAGGGCGCGCCGATTGCACGTCGACGCTTTGACTTTCATATGCTGTGCATCAGGCGCAGGCCGCAAACAGCAAGTCAGGAACCCGAGTACCGCCACACGACAAGTGAACGAAGCAGACAAACGGGGCCGCTTCTACCAACATTGGCGCGTAAGCCGCCCACGTAAGGTCGCGCAGAAGCGCCGTGACGTGCCACGCAGGTGGCCCACGTAAATCACCGCGTACGGTCGCTGTATCATCTCGCGTAAAATTCATTTTCATTTCCGTCGCTCAAGTGGGTCTAACCCGTGGCCTCCCCAAGGTGCAGTGGGTCTGCGGCGAGTGTGGCGAGCTCGTGAACAGCCCAGACCCGCCGTCAATTTGCGCTTCCTGCAACAGGGAGCTCGCGCGCACGAGGAACCTTCCGCTCCGCCTCCGCTCCGCAGGGCAAGGGGAACAGCGCGGAGAGGAGGTGGAACGCCGATCGTTGGAGGAGGAACAGGTACCGATGCCGCCACTCTTGCCCCGTGTCCGCCTTTGGGGGCCTCGTGGGAGGCCCTCGTCTCCACGGCTGGTGGGGGGATTTGTATCTTCCGGTTCCCCCAAACCAAGCCGTCGGGCTTGCGCCATTTCGCCGAGCCCCACGGGAGGAGAGAAGTTATCGGGGGAGGGCTCTCCGGCCCCTCCTCAGACCTCCCCTCCCCTCAGGCCTCCGGTGACCCCTGACCTCGGTGAGTTGTGAGGCCCGGTTTTGGGCCACGCCACAGTCAGCCCGCATCGTAAGGATGGGCAACCTTCCCAAGACTACCTTCGCACCCTTGCCTCCCCGGTCCACTATAGAACGATTCTCGCCCACCGGCACCGGCACCGGCACCGGCACCGGCACCGGCACCGGCACCGGCACCGGCACCGGCACCGGCACCGGCACCGGCACCGGCACCGGCACCGGCACCGGCACCGGCACAGGCACCGGCACCGGCAGCAGCACCGGCACCGGCACCGGCACCGGCACCGGCACCGGCACCGGCACCGGCACCAGCACCGGCACCGGCACCGGCACCGGCACCGGCACGGGCACCAGCGCCGTCGCCGGCGCCAGCACCGGCACTGGCACCCGCCCGCAACCGCACCGGCACCAGCCCTGGCACCGGCACCGGTACCGGCACCGGCGCCGGCGCCAGCACTGGCACCGGATGAAAAACATCATTGACATTGAACATCATGACATTTCCCAAACAGTGCTTGCACTTAGGGGGCCTTCTCTGTTCTTTCCTAGTATGAGCTGGGTCGTCTGAGGGGCGGTCTGGCGGCTCTCTCCTCCTCGCCGTTGCCGCCCTGTCGCCGCCCGTCGTCGTCTGGGCTTGAGGGGCGGTCTGGTTTTTCCGTCCTTGCCGTCGCCCCCCCTTGCTGCGTCGTCGCCGCCCGTCGTCTTGGCCTGAGGGTCGGTCTGGCGGTTCCTTGCTCGTTGCCGTCACCGTCCCGTCGCCGCCTCCTCGTCGTTGCCCTGTGCGCCCCCCCAGCGGTTGCAATCCAATCGGTTGCAAGCCAATCAAGTGCAAACCCAGTGGAATCGATTGCAGTCCAATCAATTGTAAAATTATGCAAACGCAGTTCCCCACATAAAAAAAATTAAAGGAGAAGCTCATCGAACGAGTAAGTACGCACGAAAGGGCAGACGAAAGAAAGGAGGAGGGAGGACAGGTGCTCAGGAAACGAAGCCTTGTAAATAGTACGGGTTGTTGATACCCTCTTCGCTCTGGCGGGGCCCCGCTGGAAGGGGGGAGGCCTACGAAACCTGGTAAAGAGTAATGCTGTCCGCGACCCTCCTCGTTCAAGCGAGTCCTCCTCCTCCTCCTCCTCCTCCTCCTCCTCGTCGTCCTGCTCCTCCTCGTCCTCCTCATCCCCGGCATCATCATCATCATCATCATCATCACCAGCATCATCGTCGTCATCATCAGCATCATCAGCAGCATCGTCGTCACCCCGTCGTCGTCGTCGTCATCATCAGCATCATTGTCATCATCATCATCAGTATCAACATCATCAAAATCATCATCCTCATCGTCAGCATCATCGGCATCATCATAACCATCATCATCATCCTCATCATCATCAGCATCATCATCATCGCCAGCGTCATCGTCATCATCATCGTCGTCGTCGCTGCCCGCTCAGTGGCTCACTCTGGGCCTTTGGGATGGACCCAATCATTCGCTCTCTGGAGCTGGCGCTCCCGCCTGACCCATGTGATGGCTCTCTCGGTGGATGCGCTGACGATCTCGGCGCGGTTCTGTCCAAGTTCGTGTACCTCACTCGCCTCTTCCCCTCCTTTGCCTCGGCCTCCCGCCTCGCCTCGCTTCACCTCAACCCCCTCAAGTGTGTGATTGTGCCCTTGTGGGCTGAATGCACGCCAGCGGTCACAGCTGACCTTCGTGCGTGCTTGCGCTACGTTCTTCCACAGTGGCAATCCTTCACAATAGCAGGTTCGGCCAAATATCTTGGTATTTACATCGGCCCCGAGTGCACGAACGCCCAACAGTGGGCGACCTGCTCGCAGAAATGGTGGGAGAGAATCCTGAAGACCTCCGCCTCTGACTCCCCTCCTGACGCCTCCCTTCGTCTGTACCAAGTCGCGATTCTCCCCACCTTAGGCTACGTTGCCCAATTTTACCCGCCACCTGTCGCGCTCCTGGCTAAGGAGCCGCGATGCATCCATAAGCTCCTCAAGCTGCCTCCGAGCTCGCTCACGGGACCAGATTTGTGGTCTCTCCGCGAATGGGCACCTGGAGCGGCGCCTCAGTCGATCGCAGCGTACGCGGCCGCGGTGAGCTGGCGTGCGGCCCGCAGCACCATCCCATCATATCACACCTGGAGGACGGAGCTCGAGGAGGCCTCCTGGCAGGGAAACACACTCACCCGCCACGTCCGAGACCTCTGGAGCCCGCCGTTCTGGCGCGACCAGCGCGCTGTAGTTCAATTCCTGCACGAGCGCGTGCACTCAATCGCGCTCCCGAAGGTCCCCTCCGCCCCCCAACGTGTTGCCGCTGCCGAGGCTGAGCAAGCAGCCGCAATTGCTGAGACGCTGCAAAAGCGTCCGAAGTTGCAGGGGGTGTACGCTCGTTCCCTCACCCGTGAATTGTACCCCGATCGCCTGCACCTGACGCTGCAGAAGCGCGTGCAGGCCTGGTATCCTGATTCATCTTTCCCCCCCCTGGCCCCTCGCTGGCCTGCTTTAAAAGCCATCCTGGCCAAAAGCCGCCCTGCCCTTTTCTGGTCCGTCCTCAAAACCTTGGCGGGCGGGTGGATCACGACCCACCGCATGCATATCCTGGGCCAGCGAGGATGTGTTCTAGGGTGCGAGGGGATGCCTGATTCGATTTCGCACTACCTCTCCTGTCCTCGTCTCCTTCACCTCGTTGCCTTACCTCGCTCCTTCCTTCCTGACTCTGTCATCGTGCGTCTTGGTCTCGGTGAGGAGGCCGAATACACAGGGGAGACCTCTCGGGAGCGCGCAGTCTTTCTTCTAGCGCTCGCGTTCAAAGTTTACCACACGCTCAGGGTGCGACCGAATGGATCGCCCTCGCCTTCACTTTACAAAGAGCACCTTGAGGTGCTGGCTGCAGCGAGACGCTCGCTCACTGCCTGAGAAGCTGACACGTGGCGCGCCAAGCTACGTGCGATCATCGTCGTCGTCGCCACCATCGTTATCAGCATCATCATCATCAGCATCGTCATCATCATCATCATCATCACCATTACCGTCCTTGGCATCATCATCGTCCGCATCATCGTGGACGTCATGATCATCATCATCGTCGTCATCATCATCAACAGCACCAGCAACGTCAGCATCAGCAGCAGCATCGTCATCATCACCAGCATCAGCATCATCATCTTCGTCGTCGTCGCCATCGTTGTCATCATCGTCCTCGTCATCATCATCATCGTCATCATCATCAGCATCATCATCATAATCACCGTTATCGCCATCGTCATCGTCCATCACCATTATCGCCATCGTCATCGTCATCGTGAACAACAGTATAACCATCGTCATCACCATCATCATGATCAAGCCTTCCTCATCGCAGAACTCCCCCTCCTCCTCACCCTCCTCAGTGGGAGGAGTAGGACGTGAGATGGATAGGTAATGTTCTCCCCTCCTCCTCACCCATGTCAGTGGGAGGGGCACGAAACCATTTAAATAGTATGGGTTTCCGATACCCTCCTCGCTCAGACGGGGCCTCCCTGGAGAGGTGGTAGGGGCACGAAACCATGTAAATAGCATGGTTTTCCGATACCCTCCTAGCTCAGGCGGGGCCTCCCTGGAGGGGTGGGAAGGGGCACGAAACCATGTAAATAGCATGGGTTTCCGACACCCTCCTCGCTCAGGCGGGGCGTCCTTGGAGAGGTGGGAAGGGCACGAAACCATGTAAATAGTATGGGTTTCCGATACCCTCCTCGCTCAGGCGGATGGAAAGGGCACGAAACCATGTAAATAGTATGGGTTTCCGATACCCTCCTCGCTCAGGCGGGGCCTGCCTGGAGGGGTGGGAGGAGCACGAAACCATGTAATCTGTATTAATTTCCGAGACCCTCCTCGCTCAGGCAGGGCCTCCATGGAGAGGTGGGAAGGGCACAAAACCATGTAAATAGTACGGGTTCCCGATTCCCTCCTCGCTCAGGCGGGGCCTCCCTGGAGGGGAGGGAGGGGCACGAAACCATGTAAATAGTATGGGTTTCCGATACTGTCCGCGCTCAGTCAGGCGGGGCCTCCCTGCTGGAGGGGTGGGATACCCTCCTCGCTCAGGCGGGGCCTCCCTGGAGAGGTGGGAAGGGCACGAAACCATGTAAATAGTATGGGTTTCCGTTACCCTCCTCGCTCAGGCGGGGCTTCCCTGGAGGGGCGGGAGTGGCAATGCTGGGAGGCGGGAGGCGGGAGGGAGAAGGAGAGGATGTTCTGGCACCAGCACCGGCCACCGGCACCGGCACCGGCACCGGCACCGGCACCGGCACGGCACGCACCGCACCGGGCACCGGCACCGGCACCGGCACCGGCACCGGCACCGGGCACCGGCACCGGGCACCGGCACCGGCACCGGCACCGGCACCCGCACCGGCACCGGCACCGGCACCGGCACCGGCACCAGCACCAGCACCGGCACCGGCACCAGCACCGGCACCGGCACCGGCACCGGCACCGGTACCGGCACCGGCACCGGCACCGGCACCGGCACCGGCACCGGCACCGGCACCGGCACCGGCACCGGCACCGGCACCGGCACCGGCACCGGCACCGGGGCAAGAATCGTTCATGCCTTCCCCGGTCCAGCCTTGGCCGCTTTCGCTGGCCTCGCCCCGCTCGCAAAGTGTCGCAGTGGCCTTCTAAGGCCCCTGCATCCTCATCGCGGGTCCCCAGTAGTGTGTGGGGGCCAGAGCGCCGCTCTCCACCAGAGGGGGGGCAGGGCCGCCCCTGCAAGTGCCACCCCTGCAGAGGGGGGGGGGTTCGCGGGAGCGGGGCTGAAGCACAGCTGGGCCCGGTCGCCCATGTCCGCCCTCCCCGTTTGGGCACCGACCGACTCCGGGTCGCGCGGCGTAGTTTTGAGCGGTTGTTCTGCCGCCCCTGCGAAAATTCCTAGGCAATGGGAGTAGCGATAAGCAGAAACAGGAAGACTGGCGGAAGCCAGAAGAAGTGAGAGATGTTCCTCCAATGCGCGCTGGTCGTTGAAATTAGGTTGTTTCCCCATGTCCTAAGATGGGGTTCTTGTTATTATTTGGACGCCTCCTACTTCTTCTCCTTCTCCTTCTCTTCCTTCTCCTCCTCATCCCCAGACTTACTCATACACAGACTTACTCACACTCAGATTTACTCATACCCAGACTTACTCAGACACAACACTATTCATACTCAGACCTACTCATACTCAACCCTACTCCTACTCAGACTTACTCATGCTGTGACTCACGCACGTCCCGTTCGCGGCCGTTTTGTGGGGATGTCTCAAGCTGTTTGCTTGTTTTCTGTACCAACATCCTTCGCTTTCGGAGCAGATGTGGAGGATGTCTCGAGCGAGGCGCTCATTGTCACGTCCCTAAGGGGAGCCGCCGAGGGGTATTGCACGGTCCCGTTCGCGGCCGTTTTGTGGGGATGTCTCATGCGGTTTGCCTGTTTTCTGTCCCAGCATCCTTGGCTTTCGGAGCAGATGTGGAGGATGTCTCGAGCGAGGCGCTCATTTTCACGTCCCCAAGGGGTGCCGCCGAAGGGTATTGCACGGTCCCGTTCGCGGCCGTTTTCTGGGGATCTCTCAAGCGGTTTGCCTGTATTCTCTCCCAACATCTTTCGCTTTCAGAGCGGTTTTGGAGGATGTCTCGAACGAGGCGCTCATTTTCACGTCCCTAATAGGAGCCGCCGCAGGGTATTGCACGGTCCCGTTCGCGGCCGTTTTGTGGGGATGTCTCATGCGGTTTGCCTGTTTTCTGTCCCAGCATCCTTGGCTTTCGGAGCAGATTTGGAGGATGTCTCGAGCGAGGCGCTCATGTTCACGTCCCCAAGGGGAGCCGCCGAAGGGTATTGCACGGTCCCGTTCGCGGCCGTTTTGTGGGGATGTCTCAAGCGGTTTGCTTGTATTCTCTCCCAACATCTTTCGCTTTCAGAGCGGTTTTGGAGGATGTCTCGAGCGAGGCGCTCATTTTCACGTCCCTAAGGGGAGCCGCCGAAGGGTATTGCACGGTCCCGTTCGCGGCCGTTTTGTGGGGATGTCTCATGCGGTTTGCTTGTTTTCTGTCCCAGCATCCTTGGCTTTCGGAGCAGATGTGGAGGATGCCTCAAGCGAGGCGCTCATTTTCACGTCCCTAAGGGGAGCCCCCGAGGGGTATTGCACGGTCCCGTTCGCGGCAGTATTGTGGGGATGGCTCAAGCGGTTTGTTTGTTTTCTGTCCCAGCATCCTTAGCTTTTGGAGCAGATGTGGAGGATGTCTCGAGCGAGGCGCTCATTTTCATGTCCCTAAGGGGAGCCGCCGAGGGGTATTGCACGCTCCCGTTCGCAGCCGTTTTGTCGGGATGTTTCAAGCGGTTTGCATTTTTTCTGTCCCAGCATCCTCAGCTTTTGGAGCAGATTTGGAGGATGCCTCGAGCGAGGCGCTCATTGTCACGTCCCCAGAGGAGCCGCCGAGGGGTATTACACGGTCCCGTTCGCGGCCGTTTTGTGGGAATGTTTCAAGCGGTTTGCACGTTTTCTGTCCCAACATCCTTGGCTTTCGGAGCAGATTTGGAGGATGTCTCGAGCGATGCGCTCATTTTCACCCCCCAGGTGGGCCAGATTTTGAGGATGTCTCGATCGGTGGCCAGACTCGTTGGCACAGATTCTCCTCAGGATGTCACAGGAGGCTCCAGGAGGCCCCAGGGGACCACATGAGGTCCCAGGAGGGATCAGGAGGCCACAGAAAGACTCATTTAGAGGCCCCCGCCCAAAAACTCACCTAAGCTCGGGGTGGCGGAAATGTGGCGCCAGCCACTTTAAAAAATAACGTGCTATTTTCCTGACACGTGAACTCGATGCCGCCGAGGCGGCGGCAGGCTTCGACGGCGGCGGCCACCCTCAAGTATCAGATGCCGCCGAAATCTTTGTCCCCACAGAATTGTGATGAGGAGCGTGAGCGGGAAGAAGAGAAAGGGAAGGGAGGGAGGGAGAACTTGAGCGGAGAACACGAATAGCACGCTGTTGCTTTTTCGAAGGGCCCCACATGCTTCCAGACGCCGCCCCGGCCCTCCCCCCCGCCGACCGATTAGAAGGAGGGGAGGGGGAAGGCGAGAAGGACGAGGGCCCGAAACAATCATTGTATGCTACACACATTTAGAGGCCCCCGCCCAAAATCTCACCTAAGCTCGGGGCGGCGGAAATGTGGCGCCAGCCACTTGAAAAATAACTTGTTATTTTCCTCACACGTGAACTCGATGCCGCCGAGGCGGCAGCAGGCTTTCACGGCGGCGGCAACCCTCAAGCATCAGATGCCGCCGAAATCTTTGTCCCACTCCACCGCATGTCTGGCAACAGCGCCTGGTTGGTGTAGGCGTGCAGGGCCAGGGTGGGAGGGAAGTCGAACGCCACACCAGCCGCCTCCACATGTAGATCTCTCTCGTCCACGAACTCATCACGAGCATCAAACAATGTAGTGCCTTCATTCACAGCAACACGTCGGGTGGCTCTATCGGTATATTTCGTCCGGAAACACCACTTGCGCCCCCGACGTGCTGTCACTCCCTCGTTTTGGATGGCCGGTTCGACTTCTTCTTGAGCAACTCCGCGCTTCGCTCCAGCACCTCGGGCGGCAGCGCGGCGCGGGACGGCTCGCTCCCCACCATCTCGGCCTTCTTCACCACGCCAAAGAGCCCGACCTCGTCCACCTTCTCGGCAGTCCGACAGAGCATACCCGCCAAAGCCATCCTCCAGGCAAGCTGCATCATCTCTGTCTTCTTGCGGAAGTGCGGGTCCACGTAGTTGCGCACCTCGCAGGCCTGAACGCAGGCGTCGCCATCCTCTCTCAACATCACCTCCTTGAACTTCTCCAACTTTTGTGCCACCCGAGGGGACACACTCCTCACATTCACAGGTCTGGTCCCCGGGGGAGGTAAAGCGACTCGGTCCCACTGGGCGGGGAACGAATCGCCCCTGTCTGGCAGCCGCACACTTCCACCAGCACTCCTCCTCCGAAGTTCGGCCAACCTCTGCTTGAAGGTCGACCGGGACTGGTTGCCCGCCGCCGAAGCGGCAGGGCGCAGCCGCAGGATCGCGGCTCCTTGGCAGGGCGTCGTCGGCGGCGGTCGTTGGCGACGGACCTCCTCCAGCACGCGCCGCGAGAGGTCCCCGTCCAGGTTGTCGGGCATCGGCCCCTGTCCCCAGCTCTCGGCCAGCTCCAGCAGGCTGTCGTCCAGACTCCCACGGTAGAGTTGTCGCAGCGCCAATACAGAGCGATTGGCTCGCCCAAGCATCTCCACCTCTTCTTTCCAGCACGTCAGCACCCGGCGAGACGTCGAACTCGGGCGCTCTGGGCGCTGGAACAGCACCACCTCGGACAGGACGTCGCGCCGCCGAGACATAGAAGCCCCAATTCGGCGTGCACAAGCTCACGTGGCCACCGACGAGGATGATGCACGTCAGCAGCAAAACAAGAGAGTACGATAGCCAAAAGGTGCAGAAGCGGAGGAAGACGCCCGCCCCTGCTGCAAGAGCCGACCGACGACACGCCGAGCAGCCCCAATTGAAGTTCCTTGGGCGTCACGGCGCTGCTGCCGCTCCCCGTCCAGGTCGGTGCGTGCCTTGATCAGCTGCGCGTCCCGACCCATGGCCTTCTTCACTTCCTCCTCGGCACTCATCACTCGAATCGTGCTCTCGTCCGCCAGCTGAGGATCCAACCTGCGAGCCGCCTCCCAGTCGACCTTGGACTTCCAGCCCTTGGCGTCCTTCGGGCGGCTCCAATCGTCCGGGCAGTTCACGTTGCGGTAATTAAGCCCTGCCGATCGCGTAGCCTTTGCGCACCAACCGTTCGAAACTCACCAAGTTGAGCAGCCCCTTCTGGCGATCCGTCATCAGCATCGTGTCCACCGCCGCGAAGGCCGCGATCATCTCCCGCGCCGTGTTGCAGTCGGACAGCCCTCGATCCCGGATAAAGACTCGCGCCCAAGCCTCCGCCGTCTTCCCCGACGCGTAGATCGCCGACAGCACCTCGGCCGAGATCCTCTGCCGACAACCCTCGGGCATGCGGCTGTTCCACTCCTCCAGCGGGATCTCCTTGTACTCGTCCAGCTGCTCCAGAAACACCTGCTGCGGCATCTGAGCCTTGAACCTCATCCGCTTGATGGCCAGCTCCACATCCTCCGGCGGGCTTGTCGCCATCCGCTTCTCCGGCGTCTCCAGCAACGAGGGTGACGAAGTCTTCGTCGGCGAACCCGCGGTAGCCGCAGCGGACGAGGACGGGGCGGCTACCTCGATCGCGGCCACCCGCTCCTCGAGGCTCGCATCGGGCTGAGCGTCTCCCCTCAACCGAGCCTCGAACTGATCCAGGCGGGCCATCATGCCCTCGATCACCTGCTTGTTGGCCTCCGCCTCCGAGTGTCCCCTGGACTGGGCGGAAGCCTCGAGCACATCTCGCCGCAACTCTCTGGTCCGCTCGGCCGTCCGCATCTCGCTGATCTCCTCCATCATGGCCTGCTGCGCCGCGGCGAGGTCGCTGAGCTGAGTAGCCAACAACTGTGGATCCAAACCAGGCGGATGAGCGGGTGAAAGCAAAGGGGGGGGCACGACGACGGCGGGCGGCGGCTCCCCGACGACCGAAGAAATTGTGGATGAAGCCACCGATGATTGACCAGCCTCGCCCGTCACCTGCAGCTCGTGAACTCCGCACGCCATCAGCATACCAAGAGCGAGGGGGAGCGCAGCCCACCGACGCAAAGGCATCAGCTTGCGAGCCCACTCCACCCACTCGCCGAAATAGACCACCCACTCCTGAGCGGTCTCGGACGACTCCACGAACGTGTCCTTGCAAGCCACCATCCAGCCCCAAACGGCGATGCCCGTCTCCCAGATCAGGTCGAGAACGCCGAGGTACTTCAAGGCCTCCCACAGCACGAAGCACAACGCCAGCAAGCCCACCACACGCCACGGCGAGCGCAAGGCCCAGCGCAGCGTAAGAAAAGAAGAGCGAGCCGAACTTGCCACCGCATAGGCCACGTTGACCGCGACCACCTGCTGCGCCTGGCGCCCAGGCCTGTAGAGCTCCAGGGCGGGAATGGTTCCTGCCCTCAGCCCGTCGGTCGCCTGCATCAGGAAGCTTTCCCGCTGCACCTGAGACAAAGCCGGCATGGGTTGCCAGCGTGCCCTGGGCAGCGGGTCGTTGAACAACGTCGATTTCGCCGTGATCGTGATCGTCCCCATGCTAAGGTCTGGCTGTAGAACCACCCAGCAATTTCCCGACATCCTTCGAACAAGAATAACCTCCACGCCATCTGTAGCACTCCGACGAAGGTAGCGTCTGCTTCCACAGGCATCACCACCTCGGGATGATAGTCCTCCTCCTCACCGAACTCGGACTCCTCGCTGGGCGGGTCGCGCACCACCGTCAGGAGCGTCCACAGGAACACCAGGAGCGGCCCGCCGCAGCGCGCCGTCGCGAGGCTGCGCTCCCCGCCCTCCGGCAGGCTCGCCGCCTGCCCAGCAATGAAGAAGGGGAGCTCCTCGCTCTCGGCACCCACCAGCTCCCACGACGAGCCAGCAGAAGATATCGCGCTGCCCGCGCGGGAGGACGTTGGCGAGCCGATTGGGCCCGGCTCAGGCGAGATCTGCATCAACGCTTGAGCCCCAAAGAACTTGAGCGGAGAACGCAAATAGCACGATGTTGCTATTTCGGACGGCCCCACATGCTTCCAGACGCCGCCCCGGCCCTCCCCCCCGCCGACCGATTAGAAGGCGGGGAGGGGGAAGGCGAGAAGGACGAGGGCCCGAACAATTCATTGTGTATGCTACATCATACAAGAGGCCACAGGATGTCCCGATAGGCTCTAGGAGGCCCCAGGAAGCTCCAGGAGGCATCAGGAAGCCACAGGAGGCCCCAGGAGGCCAGAGGAAGCGCCAGGAGGCCTCGGAAGGCAACAGGAGTGGCTCCAATCCCATGTGTTTGACGTATGCTCCTATAGATTGGGCCTCACCTGGAGCACGAATCCTTGATGTTATACGTATGTTTCTATATATTGTCCTTCTCCTGTGTACTTATGTTCCTATAGGGCCTCTCCTGGGGCACGAGTCCTTGGTGTTTTACGTGTGTTCCTACATATTGCCCCCTTCTCATGTGGCTCCAATCCGCAATGTTTTATGTACGTCTGTTGCTTTATATGGTCCATGGTCCCGGGCTCCGGGCCCACGGCCCCCCCCCCAGATAGTATGGTCCCAGGATTCCTCGGGCCCCCCCCCCCCAGATGGTATGGTCCCAGAGACGACGACGACGACGACGACGACGACGACGACGACGACGACGACGACGCGACGACGACGACGACGGCGACGACTACGACGACGACGACGACAACGACGACGACGACGACGGCTGCGGCGGCGACGACGCCGGCGGCGGCGGCGACGACGACGACGATGACGACGATGACGACAGCGACGACGACGATGACGACGACGACGACGACGACGACGAGGACGACAAGGATGACGAGGACGACGAGGACGACGACGACGACGACGACGACGACGACCTCTGAACCACCACAGCACCACACCACATCCACAGGGGGGGGGAGGGGGGCACCGCAGCGCAGCACCACGCCACGCCCACCTCTGAATCACCACCGGGGGGGGGGGGGCACCCCAGCGCAGCACAACGCTACGCCCACAGGGGGGGGGGGGAACCATGGGCCAATGGCATCAGCATTGGGGGGAGGGGGGGGGGCAAGCCCTGGACCATATTTTGGGCCTCTCCTGGGGCACGACTCCTCCCTAGGAGGTCCCAGGAGGCCCCAGGAGGCCCCAAGAGGCTCCTCGAGGCCCCAGGAAGCCCCAGTAGGTTTCAGGAGGCCCCAGGAGGCCCCAGGAGGACCCAGGATGACCCAGGCTCATGCGCAGAGACGCGCTCCCACTACTGAGGTTCATTCACGCTCCAATTCATTCTCAGTTAGATTCATGACCAGACCGTCACAACTGAAGCCCGTTTATATTCGAAAGTTCTTGCGTCTAGACATTCACGGCGGACAGGTCCATGCGAATAGACACAAGCTTACTCCTATTCAGACCTACTCTTACTCAGATCTACTCCTACTCAGACTTACTCATGCTGAGACTCACTCATACCCAGACTAACTCATACTGAGAATTGCGGGGCGCTGGTTTCAGCACCCCTAGTGGGAGCTGGTCGCGTTTTGATTGCGGGGCGCTGGTTTCAGCACCCCTAATGGTTGCGGGGTGATTTCACGGTCGCGTTCGCGGCCGTTTTGTGGGGATGTCTCAAGCGGTTTGATTGTTTTCTGTCTCAGCATCCTTGGCTACCAGAGTAGATTGTGCGGATGTCTCAGGCGGGGCGCTGGTTTCAGCACCCCTAGGGGGAGCCGCCAAGGGTGTTCTCGGTCCAGGAGGCCGAGGAGGTACCAGGGGGAGGGCGAGGAGGCACCAGGGAGCCGCCAAGGGGGAGGCCGAGGAGGCACCAGGCGCGTGCGTTTGTCGCTTTCATGGACGCGCACCCAAACAACATGTATCACTGATAGATGCTCGCCTTCGCACAATCCTACACTTTTACAACATGATATTCGCATGTTGCGTTGCATGGCTACACACGCATTCCCAGATCCCACTGATAAACAGATGCACATATGGGGATCTCCACGCGGTGAGTAATTCCTAACCATCCTGTGGTGTTGGGTCTTCGCTCTTGCAGAGACAGCGCCTCGCGTGACTCCTCCCGCTGCTCCCTCCCTCCTTCGCCTCCTCCTTCTCCTCCTCCTCCTCCTTGCCTCTGCCCTCCGCATGTTTCCGTTTCGGCATACCCAGGTACAGCGCTTCGTGCCCTGGAGCTCCACCGAAGGCCCCCCCCCCAGTGGCAGGGTTCGCATGGCGCCACCGCACCCATGTCGGCACACCCCTCGCACTTCTCGTGGCCCCATAGGGAGCTCCACCGAAGGTCCCGTGGCAGGGTTCGCATGGCGCCACAGCAACCATGCCAGCACACCCCTCACGCGCGTTTTGTGGCCCCACAGGGAGTTCCACTGAAGGGGGGGCTCACAACTGCGGTATTCACAAATGCAAATGGTTGGGTCCTTCGCCCGGATTCTTTTAATTCCCAGATCCGAAACTGCTTCAAGCACCTGTCTACTTCAAAGATCGATATGCTTCTGCGTTGTGCTGTTCTTATCTGGGATGGCCTGAACACAATCTACCTCATTCGCCTTCCTACTTCATGCTTTTACCTACTTCTTCCGACCGTTTCGTAGATGGCAGCATTTTTTGATTCAGAAGTGACGGGAGCCGCCGCATGGGCGCCGGCCAGAGATTCGATTGATTCAGCACACATTTGGGTGCTGCGGGCGACGCCCGATCTTGGGATCCGCAGGGCCCCCTAAGCCCTTGTTGGCCCCGCTTCCGCCTTTGCGAACAGCGCCGACGTAGAGAGCTTCCGCCTGCACTCGGGAGAGGAAAAGGTACCCATACCGCTACCCTTTCCTCGTTTCCCCTTTTTCGTGTGTCCTGGGAGGCCCTCGTAGCCATCGCTGGCTTTGCCTCGAAGTCCTGGTCAGAACGCGCCCTAGGAGAGGGCCGTGGGGTAGCGGTATTAGCGGTATTGATTCCTCTGCGTTTCTCCATGCATGCATCTGTATCTATGTCGACCCCCTTCATGTGAATCGGTAAGCGTGTGCAAAGTGATCGCAGCACGTGCGAGAGCCTCAGAGAGTCCCGGCCCTTCCATGCTGCTGCCCCTCTGCTGCCTTGCGCACTCCCCCGCATCCGCGCGCTCCTGCCATCTCCTGGCCCCGCCATGCGGAACGGACCAGGCCGGCTCGCTCGGGGGTTGCGCAAAGGTGCCCTTGGCCGAAGCCGTCCCCCGCTCGGTCGAAATCGGTGCGGAAAGGATGGGTGCGAAGACCTACAGCACAGGTTTCGCTGTCGGCGTCGATGCGGACACTGTCCATCTGAGACACAAGGCAGCCTGCTCAACAGCGGCCGCTGTCGGTTTTGGAAGGCATGTGTTGTTGGGCATTTCCGCTACTCAGTGTCCCCGCTTAGCTCTATCGTTGGTGCAGCCATTATGCCTCGCCGCCGACGACGAAAAGGGTTGTTGGGCCTCCTGCCCATTCTTTCCGTATCCAGTTCGGGCGTCCAAGCAATGGTTTTGTTGCTCCATCTCGGAACCCCATGGCCCCCCCGCTCGGACTCGTGGAAGGTCCTGGGGACACCATGCCTTGGGCACCCGCTTGCAACACCAGACTCGCGGAGCAGGGAGAGGCGGGGAGTCGGGCGCGGCTAGTATGAAGTCCAGCGCGTCCCTCTATAGGAGGAATTTGCAAGAATAGTAGAAACATGGTGTGGGGACGACTTACTCATGTTTCTGCTAATGTTTGAATATGTTTTTGACACGTTCAATTGTTTCTTCCAACATCCGGCTGTAGGAGGACATGCCCAACCTAAGGCCAGTACAGGGATAGATAGCTTCAGAGCGTTCCGGAACGCTCTCGGAGCGTTCCGGAGCGCTCTGGAACGGCCGCGGCGCCCGATGCGTCCTCCAAAAAACCGCCAGGCTGAAAGTTTCCTTATGTGTCCCGTTCGATGTGTGTCATTGTCCTGGCTTCGGAGCACTCTGGAACGGCCGCGGCGCCCGATATATCAGCAAGAACCGCCAGGCTCAAAGTTCCCTTTTGTAGCCCGTGCCGATTTGTGCCATTGTCCTGGCTTCGGGGGTCCAGAAATGGTGCTGTGACGGGCCGCAAGGTGACCTCTTGATTTCAGGAGACCTCACCGCGCTGTTTGTCACTGCGCAGCCTCGTGACTTGGGAGGCCCCAGTCGCCTGGGACATCCTCGGAGGCCGATCCGAGTCCCAAAACCGTGTGGTGACCCGAATCCCCACTGGCTCACCACACGGTGCGGTAAGCTCACCGTCTGGGGGGCCCCCGACTCTCAGTGGCTTTCGGCCCCCAACTCGGCTCTCAAGGCCGTTTGGGACGACCCGGGCGCCCCCGGAACGCCCGCGGCGAGGCGCAGCGGTTGGAACGTCCTTCGAGACAGGAGAGCCTCCAGGGACCGACGAAAACGTCAGCAAGCCTTCCCAGACCCGGCGCAGCCGCGCGGTGTGTGGTCGCCACGCCGTTCTGTGGGGCCCCCGGTTGGTCGCAGCGCGGCCACGAGCCGCGCCGCAGGCCGTGCGCACGCGGCGCCACAGGGGGTGGGGGCGGCGGCCCTCGCGGGGGCCTCTCGGAGAGCGGAGGCGAGCACGGAGGAGGAGGAGGAGGAGGAGGAGGAGGAGGAGGAGGAGGAGGAGGAGGACCAGTGTAAACCCAAGGGTCACCAACGATGTTGGAATAAGCCCTCCCCCCAAGCTCCCTCTTTCGTAGGCCCCTACAACGGTTCATTTCCACAGAGGGACCTGCCTGTTGGAAGACAGCCGTTGGAATACCCTGAGGCATGCGACAACACTGTTCTCGGGATTCCAACGCGACGGATCAACTTGACTGTTGCTTCTTGACGATCCAGAATCCTGGCAGGACGCCGTTCCTGGGACTTCAACATTGCGAATCATCATAGCCGCTGCGCCTTCATAATCGCGAATCCCGCCAACACACGATTTATGGTACGTTGATCCTGGGAATCCGTGAAACTCTTGCAATTTGTTAACAAAACAAGAATGTGCGCGGCGCTAAGGCGAGAGCCACATTTTGAAAAGGAACCGCCCACGACCCGTGAAACTCTTGCAAATGTTGGAAACGAATGTGCGCGGTGATGGGGCGAGAGCCACATTTTGAAAAGGAACCGCCCACGACCCGCGAAACTCTTGCACATGTCAAGTCGAATGTGCGCGGCGCGAAGGCGAGAGCCACGCCACATTTTGAAAACCACCCGCCCTCAATCCGTGAAACTCCTTGCAAATTTTGAAAACGAATGTGCACGGCGCGAAAGCGAGAGCCATCTTTTGAAAACCACACGCCCTCAATCCGTGAAGCTCTTGCACATGTTTAAATCGAATGCGCGCGGCGCCAAGGCGAGAGCCACATTTTGAAAACCACCCGCCCTCCATCTGTGAAACTATTGCCATTGCTTAAGCGTCAGGGTCATAACTGGTGAGGAAGTCTCAGGCGAAACGCCCGGCCCGCCCTAAGAACTGGCCTCGGGGTGCGACAGGGAGATGCTACTTTTATGAAACGGAATAGAGAAGGAGGAGGAGGAGGAGGAGGAGGAGGAGGAGGAGCTTCCCTGCCGTGACTCGCGCCCCCTGCTGCACGGAGGGCCTTCCTGGGGCCCCCCTGGCGGCTCGGTTCGACTCCAGGTCGCCTTTAGTTCGACTCAGGGTCGATTCAGGTTCGGCTCAGGTTCGACTCAAGTTCGACTCGGGTTCGGCTCAGGTTCGACTCGGGTTCGGCTCAGGTTCGACTCGGGTTCGGCTCAGTTTCGGCTCGAGTGGACGTATGCTCGACGCAGCTACGACGCACGAGTGGAGTGTTCTCAGGGGGGTGCGGCGAGCTCGGCTACACACTCGAGGCGCCGACGAAATGAGCGCGAATTCAGCTCGTGAGGCCTAGAGGTTGACACCGACACCAAGACCAGCGGTGTGCCTCCCCCGAGGGAGGATGACCCCGATCTGATGGTTGTGATACTTTCGGGCTTCTTAGGTGGCCGAAGCACTACCACCAGCACCAGCATCTAGGGTCATCTTCCCCCGGTGGACGCAACCCCCCGTGTTGGTGTTGGTGCCCATTTCCAAGCCTCCACTCAGAGGAGAGACAGGTACGCTTCCCTGATTTCCCCAGCATGGGCCTCCTGAGAGGCCCTCGTCGCCACGGCTGGATTCGGTTTGACATTCTGGTCAGCACGCACCCCGGGAGAGATCGGATGAAGAGCGGTAACGGTACCTGTTGGTTATTCCCCAATGTGGGGATTTGGAGGGGTTCTGGTCTTCGTGCCGTTCCTCCTAGATCTGGGTTGGGGGACCTATTCGTGCCCGATGCCCGTTGGGTCCAGGAAGGCGCCTTCGTTCCTCGTCCAGCGTCCCCTGTGGTAGCACAATGACACAATGACTGCATCGGACGGGGCTAGGACGATGATCAAATCGTTCTAGAGCCGCGTTCCGGTACGCTCTCAGAGCGTTCGGGAACGCTCTGAGACCGCCGCGGCGCCCGATGCCTCCACAGCCGCCAGATCTCAGAGATTCTGGATTTATCCTCGCCCGATGTTATCTTCGCCCTGGCTGCGCCTCACTGCAGTCCCGGAGTGCGGCCTCCTGCCGCACGCCCGGCAGGATCAGGGCACGCTCGCGGCAGATCTCGCAGGACTTTGGCTCGACACAGATCGCAGTCAGGCCTCCGCGCGGGGAGGGGGGGGGGGCGCTGGATCCGCCTCGGGGCCTGAGGTGGCCCAGCAGTGGTTCCGGCCAGCAGCGAGGGCGGGCAGGTTCGAGGTTCTAAGGCTCGGGATGGTGTTTGGCCTGTTTCGGCCTCCAGGGGGCCGTTTTCGGGTCCCATGGGCAGTCAAAAACGGACCTGGGGTGGAAAATTGCACCAGATGGATCCCGAGAAGGGTCTGGGACACCGAGCGCGTGCCACTACTCGCGAAGTGCCGACTCGCAAAAGGTCCTAAAAACAAGCGTTTGCCTCGAGGTAATGGATCGCAAATCCCCCTCGGCGGATCCGGACCATTTGCGAGTAGTTGCCCTGCGAGTGGTGGAACGCGCTTGTCTACCGGGGAACGGTTTTGAGCGGATGTGGCCTCGTACCGATTTTTGTGGGGCACCAGTCTGGATGACCCAAAATGGGTTCCAGCGACAAGGGTGTAGTGCAATAGATGTTGTGCAATGTATTTGTTTCTTGCAATAGAGTTGATATCAATTGATTTGATAAGCCATGATAATAAATGTGGCAGCGCACGCATTGGACGAATTTACGAGAGCCAGCACGACCATTGCCATAATTGTAGACACATGTCGTATCGTTGCCATGTTGCCACTCCGGTGCGCAGATGTATTGCTGGGCCGTCGCGTGCGTTATACGCGTTGCAATACCCCTTTCCAGGTGGTTGTTTTTGACTCGTTGTTTTGCCGTTCGGCGCGGGCCCTCGCACCCTCCCCCCCCTATGGAGTGGACCTTGGCTGTCTTTTTCCGCCTGTTTCGAGCAGGTGGGGTCCCTCCCCCATCGGCCGCACTGCTGCAAACAGCCGCACTGAGCAGAGGTCCGGAGCCAGGCCCCCCCTCTCCCCATTCGATTCCCCCCCAACGTCACATGGCACCACCCCTTTCCAGCTGGACCCGCTCTTTGGGCCAACCAGGAGCAGCGCAGACGCCTTTTGCCGCCTCCCCCGGGGGGCGCACGGTGTTTCTCTCCCCCCCCGCTTGGGGCGCTCGAGCCAGAGGGAGTTCTCCGCGGAGGAACGGCCCGCGCGGTCATTTTGTTGACGGCCTTGGCGGCTCGGGGGGGTGACGCGGGGGGGCGGGGCCATTGCGCACTGGGATGGGCGCGGGGGTGACCAAGGGGATGAAGCGGCGAGGGGTTATACCTGGCCTGAGCTAGCTTAGTACTGGGTCGCTCATGTCCCAAGTGGCTTGGGGGGGAGGGCGATCCAGGCCGAGTGGGCGGAGCCCACTTAGAATTCCCCTGAGCCACCTGGGGCATGTGTAACCCACTTGCAAGCTAGGTAAGACCAGGTGTAACCCCTTTGGCGTCCACTGATGACCCCGTTTTACCTCCTTAGCAACCCCCGCGCAGGCGGGTTGGATCTCCCAAAACGGTGGCGGAGGCGCGATGGGGAGGCGTCCACGGTCGCCAGATTGCCCTCACTTGCACAATTCGAGGAGGCGAGGAGGGCGGGAGGCCCGTAGCGACAGGCGGATCCTACCAGTGGCTACTGGACGGCTGCGGGCCGCGCTGGCAAGAGAGATAGCGCTCGTCCCTACAAGTCTCGTTCGCTTGTTGTGCGAATCCTCGTCGCAATCCTGCCGCACTGCACAGACTTGCCTTGCATATATACACATACATATACGTGTGTAGATATGACAGAGCGCGTTCTGTGGGCGTTTTGAGGAGGGGGGGGTCGAACCCCCGCCTCCTCCCCCTCCCCTTCCACCCCCCCCCTCCCCCACGGGCCTGCGCCGGCGCCAGCGGCTGCCCCCCTCCCCCACCCAGGCCGGCGCCGGCGCCAGCGTCGGCTTGCAGCGCCGACGCCGGCGGTGACGACGACGACGACGATGACGGCGACGACGGCGATATCGAGAAGATGGCGACGACGGCGACGACGACGCCGACGGCGACCATGACGACGACGACGACGACGACGACGACGACGACGACGACGACGACGACCACCACCACGGCGACGACGATGACGACGGCCTTGACGACGACGACGGCGACGATGACGACGACAAACACGACGACCACTGCGACGAAGACGAAGACGATGACGGCAACGATGGCGTCGACGACGTCGGCGACGACGACGTCGACGACGGCGCCGACGGCGACGACGGCGACGACGGTGGCAACGAAGATGTCGACGAAGACAACGACGAGCACGGCGACGACGACGACGACGACGACGACGGCGACGACGACGAGGACGACGACTACGGAGAGGACGAAGACGACAGCGGCGACGACGACGACGACGACGACGAAGGCGACGAGCACGACGACGTCGACGACGACAGCGACAATGACCGCGTTGCCGACGGCGACGACGACAACGACTATGGCGACGATGGCGACGACGGCGACGATGACGACGTCGGCGACGATTGCGACGACGGCGTCGACGAGGACCACGGCGACGACGGCAACGACGACGACGACGACGACGACGACGACGACGACGACGACGACGACGACGACGACGGTTACGACGGCGACGACGACGACGAGAACGACGACGACGACGGCGACGACGGCGACGACGGCGACGTCGACGACGACGACAGCGACGAGCATGACGACGACGGGAGCGACGACGAACACGACGATGACATCGACGACGTTGGCGTCGAGCACGACGACGACGACGGCTACGAGCACGACGACGACGACGGTGACGTCGACTACGACGACGAGCACCACGTCGTCGACGACGTCGGCGACGACGACGACGAAAACGACGACGACGACAGTGGCGACTGTGACGACGACGACGACGACGACGAGGTCGACGACGACGACGGTGACGACGACGACGACGATGAAGACGACGACAACGTCGGCGATGACGACGACGACGACGACGGCGACGACGACAACGACGGTGTCGACGATGACGACGGCGGCGACGATGACGACGGCGGCGACGACGACGAAGACAACGCCAACGACTCTGGCGACTGCGACAACGACGAAAACCACGACGACGACGACGGCGACGACGACGGCGACGACGACGACGACCACCACGACGACGACGACGAATGCGACGAGGACGACGACGGCAACGATGACAATTGCAACCATGGGAACGGCGACGACGACGACGACCAGCATGACGACGACAACGACGACGTCGAGCAAGAGGACGACGATGGCCACGACGACTACAGAGACGACGACGGCACCGAAGGCGACAACGGCGACGACGACGTCGACGACGGCGACGACGAAGACGACGGCGACGACGGTGGCGACGAAGACGTCGACAAAGACAACGACGAGCACAGCGACGACGACGACGACGACGACGACGACGGCGGCGACGACGACGTCGACAACGACGACGACAACTACGGCGAGGACGACGACGACAGCGGTGACGACGACGACGACCGCGACGAGCACGACGACGTCGACGACGACAGCGACGTTGACGACGTTGCCGACGGCGACGACGACGACGACGACGATGGCGACGACGGCGACGACGGCGACGATGACGACGACGACGGCGACGATTGCGACGACGGCGTCGACGAGGACGACGGCGACGACGGCAACGACGACGACGACGACGACGACGGTGACGACGGCGACGACGGCGACGATCACGACGACGGCGACCGCGACGACTGCGACGACGCCGACGACGACGACGATAGCGACGAGCATGACGGCGACTGCGGCGACGACGAACACGACGATGACGACGACGACGACGGCGTCGAGCACGACGACGACGACGGCGACGAGCACGACGACGAAGGTGACGTCGACTACGACGACGAGCACCACGTCGTCGACGACAACAGCGACGACGACGACGACGAAAATGACGACGACGACAGTGGCGACTTCAACGACGGCGACGACGACGGCGTCGACGATGACGACGGCGGCGACGACGACGGCGAAGACAACGCCAACGGCGCCGGCGACGGCGACAACGACGATCACCACGACGACGACGACGACGGCGACGACGACGGCGACGACGATCACGACGACGACGACGACGAATGCGACGAGGACGACGACGGCAACGATGACGATTGCGACGGTGGCGACGGCGACGACGACGACGAGCATGACGACGACGACGTCGAGCAAGAGGACGACGATGGCCACGACGACGACGAAGACGACGACGGCAACGACGGCGACAACGGCGACGACGACGGCGACGCCGACGACGACAACGACCACGACGACGAAGACGGCGACGACGACGACGAAGACCACGACGAAGACGCCGACGACGGCGACCACGACGGCGACGGCGACCAGGACAAATCCTAGCATGACGACGACGACGACGGCGACGACGACGGCGACGACGGCGACGACGACGGCGACGAGAGGCTTCCTGTGAGATCCTCATAAGATCTTGGGGCTTCCTCAGGAATCATGAAGAATCCTGACAGATCTCAGGAATCTGGAGGAATCTCGAGACATCCGCAGGAATCCTGAACCTGAGAGATCTCCCGGAATCCTGAGAGGAATTCTGAGGAGGTTTCGTGATCCTGTGGATTTCCGTGACCGTATGCGAGGACCTCCTGGAGTGTTTTTTTGTTTTGCATCCTCTTGGAGGCCTTTTGAGGAGTTAGCTGCTACGTTTTAGTTCTACGATCGCTATGACCACTTCTACCACCACTGCCATTACTGCTACTACTACTACTACTACCACCACCATTACCACCACAACCACCAGTATCAAACCTGCTAGCACTTTTAGTACTACTACAACTACTACGACTATTATTATCACTGCTGCTACTACTACTTCTACTACTGCTACTCCTACTACTACTACTACTACTACCACCACTACGACTAGTACTACTAGAACCACGAGTACTACCACTAGCACTACTACGGCTACGACTATTCCGACGACGACGACGACGAATACTACTACTACGAGTAGTACTACTACGACGACGACGACGACTACTA